GTAGGGGTAGTGTAAAAAGTGTAATGAGTAGTGGGTAAATGAAAAAGTAGGAAAGAGAAAGGGGTAATGGTAATAAAAGTTGGGGTATAAAGGTATATTTAGAGTAAAAACTTTCCTTAAATGGAAAGAAGGACAGATAAAAAAACGTCCCAAAAAGAAAAGAAGTACTAATAAAAAAGAACTATATCGCAATCAACAATTTAAATATTCTGTTAATGGGTCGTTTTTTTAATCCTTATGATTGACCAATCTATTGTGCTTTGTTAGCCACCGACAGTGCACCACTAATGACAACGGAATAGCTCACCATTTGTTTACCGGGCGGGAGTTATTAGAACATCTCTAATGGTTAGCTAAACACATTGTAGCTTTGCTTGCCACATCATTTTTTCTAGCTAATCCATTTTCCAGCAATATGATAGTCCAATGGTTAGCCACAATGCTTGTCTCTTGAATAGACCCCACAAATCAATCAATTTTAAAATACACATTATGAGTGAATTGATTTATTAATATAAAAAAAATCAACTATGACTTTGACCAACCATTAATCCAACGTCCAACAAGGGTGAAAGTGCATACTAAAAAAAGAAAAATTTGAACAATAATATGTATTTTGTTAAGTAAAAAAATAAGGAATAATTTTTTTAACAACACATACATACTAAAAAAACAACTTTGACTGAAATAATATTTCATGAGAAAATTAAACATTTCTTAAAATTAAAAAAGCAAACACATTAAATAAAATAGATCTACTAAATTAAACAATGTTGATTCAAATTTCTCTCCAAAACGTTGCCAAATATGCTCTCAAATGGAAGAGTACACTAAATTTTTACATATGAAAATAGAGCAGTGGGGGAGTAGGAGAAAATAGTGTATAACTAAAATTGTAAACCATTCCGTATATATAATTAACGTTGTATTGCTCATACGTCGCATAATTAATTAATATAGTATATCAATTACAAACAAATTAAATATATTTGGTACTTACCATTTTAATTCAAGTTTCTCTCCTTTCTAGCAATTAGCTTGTTTTAGCTAATTTGCTTGCCCAAGCTAGAAGCAAAGATGTACTCCAATGGTGGGCTAATAGCTTCAAATTTGCAAGCAGGTCCCTAGAAGGAACCATTGGAGATGCTCTTAATTGGATGAAAATTTTCCGGTCTAACATTTTCTTTGTTTGATTTGGTTTGAATTAGTTTGGTAGATGTATAGTCTGTTTTATAAATATTATAGTCTGGGCTGATTTGATTTGTGTAATTCTGGAACATCTGATCTGTTTAAATATGTTTTTGGTCTGATATGATATGAGATTAAAATAAATTCAAATAAAAGAATCCTGATGGGAATATTTTCTGTTTTCCAGAAAACTAGAAAACCGGAGAAAAGAAAACGTGTTTAACTGTTTATTCTCCAAAATTGAGAAACTGATAATTGTCAATGATTTTCTTTTTAAAATCACTTTTCCGTGTTTTCTAAAATGGAAATACGCACTTACGCAGTGACAATGCGTCTTGTATTTGTTTCATGCTCAGGTATTTGATCGGGGTAATTTTTTTAAAACAATATATTTTTTCAAGATCTATGCAACCGTGTATGTTGAGTAATGTATTTTATTTGTTAAATTAGGAAAATCAATTTTAACCTTCTATTGTTTTATAACTTACTTTTAAAAATCATATTCTTCCCAAATTAAATAAGTTTCGAACCGATCAACTGGGTCCGCTCCTACCGATCATGGTGAGTTGAGTCTTTCATGGTTAGAACTTAGAAGCCGCAAGCTTGACTTGTAATTTTTCCATTGAAAAAAAGTACGGTTCAATTTTAACTTTCATATTTGAATTGAACTCATCTACTTTAAAAATGTGTTTTTTTTGCTATGTAATAAGCCTTGTCTAGTCAGTCTATTATGAACTGGTTTAAGACTACAACTAGTCCAAGTGAAAACATCATTAATCACGAGCTCAAATCTTTAAAACTATAGTTAAATCTATTTATATCTGTCATATCTCGGATAACTTGTAGGACAAGAAATATGGTTACATTTCTTATTTATTGCTATAAATAACTTAGAGGTTTTGACTTTTGAGTTTTGACATGAATATACATGAGCAAAATTAAGTCAAGGAGAAATAGGACAACTTGTGAAATTCCCTAAAAAAAGAGTAATTATGATTTTCTACCCTTTAAACTTTTTCCCCTAAAATTCAATTTCTTACTTCGATATAGAACCATATAGGTACAAGGAATATAATTACTAATTTACTATGAATACAATACTCAGTAAATTTTTCCTGAGGCTATCTTTATTAATCATTTATGTAGTTGTACTTATCGAAAAGTTTGTCATTGATGATTTTTTTTATACATCGGAAAGGAGTTTGCCATATAGATACAAGGAATATAATTACCGTGAATACAGTACTTTTAAATTTTTCATGAGGATATCTTTATTAATCATTTATGTAGTTGTACTTATTGAAAAGTTTGCCATTGTTGATTTTTTGTAAATATCGAAAAGGAGTTTGCCATATAGGTACAAGGAATATAATTACTGTGAATACAATAGGGAAAATTACGGCAATAATACTAAAACACATACAAATTCTAAAAATATGACTTAAAAACTCAATAGTCCAGAATATAACTAAACGTGATAGTACATGACTACCCGTCTACTAAAAACAAAATAAAATGACCCCATTGCCCTCTTATCCCTGTGCGTAGAGTTTTTGTGAAATGGAAATTAGCGACTTTGTAGGCTTGCAACACTCAATATTTATTGCAGGGCGGGTGGAGAAGAACACCTTCCGTCTTCAGATGCATATCAAAAGAGATGCGACAACGTGTGGAAATAGACTTCGAGTAGAAAAAAAAAAAAACGGTAGCGGATAATATGGAGGATGGCGGATCGAGCCATGGATGCAATAAAAGGCGAAGGTCACCAATCCTTCGGCCCGGGCGAGTAACATTATTACAGTGAGCGGGCATTATTAAGGCATTGTGATGTGTTAAGATGCGGACTGGAATCAAATGTGAAATCTATATTATCGAACAATAGCCTGTAGTATGCATAGACTACGTAGGGCTGTAACTTTGTGAATGAATAGAACGGGTGGGAAGTAGGACATTAAATGATAGCAGTAGTTTAACTTGGGTACGAGAAAGGAAATAACTTGGGTAAGGAATCTCTTTGGGCAGTACATATAAGGAAGAGGCATTAGTTGAGCAGTAATTCGCGCAGAAGGGCAGTAATTCACGTAGAAGGGAAATTAGAGCAGTAAAAGCAATAATGAGGCATAGAAGGGCAGTAATTCACGCAGGGAGTAAGGGTTTCCAGAATTGAAAAAAATGAGGGCAATAAGATTGCTTTAAAGTAAAATGGGCAGTGATTGGACAAAATGCAGTAATAATCAATTCTGGAAAAAGGATGAGGGCAGTAAGAATCAATAGGTATATACCAGAAAAGGGGATGAAAAGGAGGTCTAAGGTAGTGAAATTTGTTAGTGTCAGGACAAGGACAGTAAGTAAAGACGTCGGAGATCAGAACAAAAATAAGTATAAGAAGGATACATATATTGATATATACGAAGTACATACTAATATTAGTACTAATAGTACTAATAGTATCAATTGATATGCTAATATTCGGTTCTCACGCAATCGTGCAAAGTAATTAATACATCCCTTAATTTTAGGATCAAATAACGGCTCATTCGTGATTTATGAGGGCATTAGTGGAATTAAAATTAATAAAATAGATACGTGGATGAGCATGACTTATGCAAGTATCATATTGGGAATAAAACATCATGGAGTCATATATCAAGAAAGACATGTTCTTTTAAGTCATATATACGAGTGTTAATTTTCTCAATACAATATACTCGTAAATTTTTCCTGTGAATAAATACAACCAATGTACAACTTTTGTCTATATTTGTTGCTACGAAATCAAACCCAGCCTTAAAACTCGGGCCCAATAGTTATGCTGCTAATGGCCGGCAGAACAGCCCATATCAAAATACAGTCCACATTCGATTATTGGAGTTAATTACCTCCATGATTACCACAGATAAATGACTGTAATGTTGTCTCTTCACATCCTGAAACAGGCACGAGCTACTGGTATTCTCTTTTATAATTACTTCATGATTATTATTACTCATGTAAATAAAAGTAAATTTTGGAGTCCTCTAAGCTTCCTCCATCAGTTACCACTCACACCCTGTATATAAATATCCATCTCAGTACGATCAGATAATGAACTACTTTTGAGATTATTGCTGTCATTAGGAGATATAAGAAACATATATCAATCTTATGGCTACTATGAAGCTAATCCCTCTCATACTACTAGCACTACCATGGGCTCTTTTAGCGACCGCCGGGGAGACAACTGACGTGAACGTGGCGGTGGGATATGGGATTGCTGCAAGGTTGAATGGCAGCGGGGGCGGGGCAGCACAGTGTTGGGACGCAATGTTGGAGCTGAAATCATGCACCAATGAGATCATACTTTTCTTCTTCAATGGGGAGGCTTATTTGGGGAAAGAATGTTGCAGGTCTATAAGGACTATCATGTACGATTGCTGGCCTTCCATGCTTACTTCCATTGGGTTTACGGCCGAGGAGGCTGACATTCTTCGCGACTATTGTGGCCCGCCTACACCCACTCCCGCAGTGGTGCCGGCCGCTTAAACTTCTGGTGCAGTCTAGTTTCTGATGCCACGAGCTTATATCTGAAGTTTTATTTTTGCATGCATATTGCATGGTAGTTATTTGAAGTTTTATGTTTTCCAGTGACCGTTTGAATATTGATCATTTCAGAATAAATCACTGGTGTTCTTCAGTTTTATCATATTCAGGATTTACGTCCCTCCCCCCTTTTTCTTTGTTATTTTATACGAAGCGTATTGTTTTTAACGCATAATTGGAATTACAGTAAACTCAACCAGTGGCAATTTTTAAAACATCACTTTACTTGAAGCTAATTTGGTTAAACAGAGTAACGGATGATTTAAAAGTAGGGACTGGAAATACATAATTTGGTTAAACTTCACAATTTTAGCTTACGAAACAAGCTTTTTCATCACATAAATATTTCACTTTAGTAGAAAATTTAACTGCACTATGTCGTTTATAGCTAACCCGGACATGTTGCATTCTTGTATTCATGGTGTAATTTGTTGACCGGAGCATAGACTTGACAACAACGATCCATATATTACGCAATGAAAACCAACCTGAAATAAACATGTCTTCACATAAGTAGAATCCACACTTTCAGTTTCAGCATTCGTTTTCAATTCCGAGCTGGCATTATCTGTAGCCAATATTGAAAACCCCATACTTTCAATCCATCTTAAATCAATGGGATCCTTGACCAAAACCAAAAACCTACCCTCCTCGGAAAGAAAATGCCAAACTTTTGGTATCAAATCGGAGACACAATTCAAGAACTGTCTACTTATTTCCGGAAGTTCCACATTGAAATTGTGTTTCTGAAGGGTGCACTTTTTACAGCTTTGACTTGAGAATGATGAAAATCCTTCCACAAGACTAAGCAAGGACTGACCTGCACTTGTCCAAAAATTTGCATAAGACACTATAAGGGAAGGCTCAAAGAGGAACAAGTGATGGGTCGAACAAGCTAATAATAAGGAGTAGGCAGCACTGGCTTTGCTGAAACTAAACGCCTTCAAATTATCCTTCTCACTCATGGGGTTGAAAGCCAATAAGTCACTTGCTAAGGCTTTATAGGCTGAGGCAAGTGTTGTATAGGCTTTTAAAGAAAGATGGTGAAGCGGGTGAAGCTTGAGAGTTTCACATGTCATTTCAGTAGGATAACCATGAATTAGCAGGTTCTCTAGCTGAGAACAACAAGATATGGAGTTATCCGATGCAAGGAATTCATCTATAGCTTCATCAAACCGTGCAACCAACTTCTTGTTGGTAAAACTAAAATCCCCACAGAAGTTGCTAGTAATGGTCGAGGTTGGACAACCATGACTGGTGAAAGAAACTTCCTGTAGAGAAAAGTAGAGGAAAAGCATTAATGTGTGATCATCAAGAGACAAATGTCAATTGTTATTAGAAGAGCCTGTTTGGTACTTCGATAGGGCTCATTTGTGACTTATCAGCCACTAAAAGCCGCACCTGGCTAATTAAAAGAAGTACTGCAACTAGTCTCCAAGTGGTCCTTTTTTGCTGAAATGATGAAGTTGACACTTCTAGCTTTATTACTACGTATTAGATACTAAGTATTATTTTTTATAATTTTTTTAAGCATATACAAGTTTTTTTGTAAAAAATCTTACATATTTAGTGAATTCAGCCACTATAAGTTTACAACAACAACTTCACCAAATTCAGCCAATCAGCCACTTCAGACACTTTAAGCTTAACCAGACAAGCTCCAAGTGAAGGTGGAGAGTTGTTTTCATCACCTCCAAAATATGATCCACATACGTCTTAGGATCTGCATTGCATCTATTGCAACAGCAAAGGAACCGATACTTTAACCACAGGTCAAATCGTCTCATCCCCTATAAACATAAATAAATTCTATCTGACCATAGCTTCAACTTTAGGGAAATACTACGGATGTGTTTAAATGAAGAGAGAAATATTCATCATAAGAAAAAAAGTATTAATTTAACTGTAATGCATACCTTACTACCTTAGGTTGTAACAAGTCTGTGTATGTTATTAGCAGCTCCTCTCCTTGCTTAATATTCTTTATGCTGCGAATAATCAAACTGGGGCCATATCCTTCCTCAATTCCTGCAATACCATAAACGAGTTACTACAAAAAATAGATACCCAAACTCAGCATAAAATAAGAATTATGAGAAAAAGAACAACTCTAACAATCATGATCAAATATTTGAAAATTATAAGCAGAATGAATGACATTTTTCTTGAAATGAAATGCTGGTGAGAAAACATTACCTAGTGACGATAAGAATTTGAAACTAATTTTAGTGTTGATCAGCTCACTTCCATTTCTATTATCACCATCTGTGGGCTTCGGGTGTATAAGCCCGGATGATGCAGCTCCTGAGCTGGGAACTGTTGAAAACCAGTAAGAAGAATTGGGAGAGCAGCTATGGTTAATCCAAGAGAACCTTGGACCATAAACAGCCACCCCCACGCTACACCCAGTCCTATCCTGCACCTCTACGGCGTTAGTTAGCACCAAACACAATACAGCCTCCTCCACCGCGCAATCTTCAGCCAATGATGACTCCAAATTCAGACCGTCTCGCATCCTCCTAGCAGCCGCCATAGCTCTCGCGCCTTCTCTAATCCTCTCGGACACCTCTTCGTATTCTTCGCAGGTCTCCATATCCTCCTGAATCTCCTTCCTCAACAACTCCGCGCGGTTCGTCATCAAACCTCCAATCCTATCCAATGCCGAGTCGCGGGAAAAGAGACGCAGAGTCTCGAATAGGTGGAGGAGGCGGAGAGAGAGGCGGAGGTCGGAGGTTTCGGGTAAAGTGGGGGCAGGAGAGTGTCGGAGGAGATGGAATTCTGCGGAGGAGAAGTGGAGAGAAGAGTCGAGAGAGGAGCAGCGACGGGAGCAGTAGCGGAGGAAGTGTAGCGGGGCACTTTGGGAATCTGGAGAATCATGGAGAGGAGAAAAACAAGCGGAGCAGTGAGAGAAGCGGGAGGAATCGTGGAGGGCGGCGGCGATAGGTAGGATCGGAGGAGTGAGGTTTCGTCCTATGGCTATGTCTTCCACCACTCTCATCTCCATTTCTGTAAGCTTCCTTTCCCCCGCTGAAAGTCTGAAACCAGTTCAAGTCCGCAACGACGACGTATAAAGATACCCTAAATTGACTTTGGGGACAAACACAGCAAATAATACTCCGTACTACATTTAACCAGTTAAACAAAGATTATGCATCTAGTACTACATAAATTACTATACGACCATTATTTTATCCAAACATATAACACAAGTAAAACAAATACCACTTTCTCTCATGAAACTCAGTCACTCAAATTATCAAAACTGATGAAGAGTGAAGACTATCATATACCGAGTACAAATTAGGGGGGAAAATTTAAAATTCCACAAATGTTGAAGGGGCGTGAGATAAATACTTCAAACTTGCACATGTAATTTAAATACCTCAAAATTTATATAAAAAGTTATTTTAACATCATGATCTTGTATTATTTTTTTCAAAAAATGTAAATTTATGGTGTTAATTACATATTTTAAAATATTTTAGCATTCAATAAGATGCAATATAATTAACATTCTAAAATTCCATTGTAAAATAACTAGTATTACCCCCCCCCCCCCCACACCCACACACACTATATAATTGCTTTTTAAATTATGAAATTCACACAAAAAAAATACATTTTTGAAAGAAATAATACATGATCATTGCGTTAAGATAACTTCTTATATAAAATTAGGGGTATTTAAATTATATATGAAAGTTCGGGGTGTTTATCTCACACTCCTTTAAAGTTTGGGATATTTCAATTATCATCCCTACAAATTATTTGATTACTTAATGATTTTAAAGCTAAGTGACCGGATTTAGTGTCAAAAGACAGTGTTCTACATTTTCATTATACATTTGAGATGCTGTGATATGAAATGATTATTTTTGTATCATTAATCTGTCAACTATAATTGACAGGAGTGTTATTTAATTTTTCTTCCTTGTGGATCAAAGCATAATACACCCTTTCTCTTACATATATTTTTTTTGAAAAAATTGAAAATAATAATCCCAACTATTGTCGGTCCGCTGACAATAATCCTAACTATTGATTATTTTTGTATAGTTCCAACTATATGGACCGTCCGTCAATAATGGTCCATGACCAGATATTACCTCCTATAACAAGTGAATGTTAAATAGAAATTAAGGGTAAACATTAAAAGTTAAGATTATGTATAAGGATTACTTACTATATCTCTTCTCATCTACTTTAGAAAATACAAGAATTTATTTATAGGGACCATTATTGGCAGAAGGTCCCTAAAGTTGAGATTATTTTGAAATAATCGATAGTTAGGATTACTATGAGCGAACCGCCAATAGTTGAGATTATTACTATCAATTTTTCCTATTTTTTCCCATGCTCTTCCTTATCATCTATTTCTTTTTTATTTTGCCTTACTTTTCCACGTGAGCAGATCCAGAAGCTTTTTTGTAAGGTGAATTGGAAAATGAATTAACTAAGCTAGAGACATCATGGTAGGCACTAGGGGCGGAGCCAAGGGCGGGTCAGGGTGGTCAGCCAACCCCGCTGAAAGTTTAAGAACATACTCCGTAGAACTTTGAAATGCTCGTATCTTCGATTTGATATATTATGAGTCCCGTAACTCATTACGGGTAAAAAGTTATGACTTTTGAAAAAATCAGCACTATCTTAACTTGAAATAAGGAAAATTTGATGTGTGACGTTGATTATATTCTTAAATATAAAAACAAAACACCTTATTCAGTCATTAATTGTGTGAACATTATGATACATTGCATATATATATATATCAATATATTAACCGAAAAATGCTTATTAAACTACCATTTATTTCAGCTACATATGAAGCATTTAACTCAAGTATTGTATAATAACTACCCATCATTTTGTTACTGTATATTGTTAAATTCCGACTCTCCTCACACATTTTTCTGGCTCCGCCCCCTGGTAGACACAATATAAAATACTCGTATCAGTTTATTTGTCTCACTTTCTTTTTTGAAACATATCAAATTAATTGTCTCATTTCTTTTTTAGGAAAAAAGTTCACTAAAAGCAGTAACAATATCACTATAGTACCAAAAATCTTTTACTTTTTATAAATTCGACCGTAATTATCTTAAATTACGTTAAAGCAAATGAGACAGTAGACATATAAACTCATATGAATATAGTAAAAGATATCGTGGTAGGCTAGATAAATAAAAGAAGAAAAAATTCCCATTTAGTACCACCAGCGTTGTAATGTAGATCAACTTCTGATTTCTCCTGTAAACTATGCAGAGCTTAAAACTATGTCCCAAATTTTTATGAAATATAATGAAAAAATGGTTATTCGGGCCCAATTCAAAAATATATGTTGTCACTTTTTATTATAAACACGCTCTTCTTTTATATGTATAAAAATGATCATTTTTTAATTTACATCACTAGCTGTTAAAATTTACACCTTGTTTTTGTAGAGAATCATTTCACACTTTTTCTTATCAGGCTCGTATTACTTTCTCAGTTTCTCTTCCATTTACTCCATTACTATTCAAGCCAATCTAAAATGTGTTTTACTGTTTGGGCCCGAGCTTGAGGGAATGCTAATACAGATAAGAATAAAATAGGAGGAATTTGACTTTGCACCCCAATTTTTGGGTGATATTGGACTTTGCACCCCATTTTGAAAAAACTTTGATTTTGCACCTCATTCCACCTAAATTTCCTTTGACTTGCACCCCATTTAGAACTTTTTCTTCACAAAATGGTATGTGTTGGGGTGCAAAGTCAAAGCTTTTTGAAATTGGAGTGCAAAGTCCAATATCATTCAAAAAGTGAGGTGCAAAGTCAAATTCCCCCAATAAAATATTATACAAACCTAAAAGTGAAAGTAGCAACATTTTTTTTTTTGAAAGGAAAAGTAGCAACAAATTTAGGAGATGAAAGTTGACACTTGACACTAAAAACCCTTCAACAGTTGAATCGTGTAAGAAATTGCAAAACAAGTTCCTTAAGATTATTGATAGAATGCTCGAACTCTAAAGAATTACCGAAACTGTACTATAATGCTCTAATAAAAAGGGTAGAGTGAACTTAAAAATAGGCCACTAATTTTGGCAAAAAAATCTTGAAAATAATAACATTAGGGATTTGGGTGAAAGAAATAAAAAAAAGTTGTTTGATGTAAATACAACAGGTTACCTATCATTATAATAAGTACTTGGTGTAATTAATTGCATAAATTGTTCATGAATTACCAAATGCAATAATATTCGAAAAACTTATGAGCCGTTGATATAATAAATTAAGGGATAAGGGTCAGATAGGGTCTCGAACTTGAAAAAAAATGTCAAATAAGGCCATATTTAGGATGCTCTGTCCGGCCGACGCCATTTGGGGTGGTTCCCGGTGGAATTTTTTGATGAATTTTTTTGAGAATCTTATTCATTAAGTCTAGTTTACTCATATCAAATTTGAACTAACAATTCAATCGGGAAAGCATTCAAATGAATTCATGAAGATAACTGCGCTTTTAACGGTACAGTTATCTTCAAGAATTCATTTGAATGCCTTCCCGATTAAAGTTTTAGTTCAAATTTGATATGAGTAAACTAGACTTAATGAATAAAATTCTCAAAAAATTTCATCAAAAAATTCTATCGGGAACCACCCCAAATGGCGTCGGCCGGACAGAGCATCCTAAATATGGCCTTATTTGACATTTTTTTTCAAGTTCGAGACCCTATCTGACCCTTATCTCATAAATTAATTATTATTGTCGTACGTTGCATACAGTTACGCATGTACAAGTGTACAACACCAGAACCAAAAACAAAAAAAAAATAGTGCAAACCAAACCCACAATGTCAAGCCATAGTAAAAGGCTAAAAGCCATAATAAAATGCTGTCATTGAATTCAACCAATAATTTATTTATTTATTTAATCGGGAGTAATGACTAATTCTTACATATGTTAGTAAAAATGGTTACATACATAATTACATTAGATCCTACCTACAAAGTAGCTACCTAAACTCTACTACCAAAACATACAGTCTAGTTATACCGGAGTTGGAGAGAGCAGAAACTCTGGTTGCAACCTCTGCAAAAGAATCCCACAAAAAGGGCACCAAGGCTTCGTTGGATGTGTAGAAGAACGCTGCTGATGGATAAAAGGTTCAAAATCTGATGGATATTCTGGCAGTGTGAAAAGGGTTGAAGGAGCTAGTTGTGAAGCCCAGCGCTTACAACACACGCAATGCCACGGAGGAGTGGTTGGAGGGCAGACCAGCATGGAAACAGAGCAGCGGGGTAGTTTATGGCTTGGACCGCGAGTCTCTGATTCGCTGGTCTTCTCTCCTTGACAAAATGCAAATTCTGGAGAGCCTAATGGAACCGATGCTGAGCAGAAGCTGCACTCCTCTTGCATTGTGTAGATGGAGTTTAATCTTCTGTAGCCAGATGCAGTAGAAAACAAGAAGGTGCTCAGTGCAAAGCTCCCAAACAATGCAGGTAAGGGAGTAGGGATGGAAACGGGTGGCATATCCATCCGTCTAACAAAACTCAAATCCAACTTATAGTACTTCAAACATGTCCCAAACACAACAGTTTTCTGCTTGAATCTTTCTCAACTCCATTTACCATTTACCTATGGGTACCAGAACACGACCCTAACCCCATTTTAAATATTCTAAACATAAGAATATGTAAACCCACACCTATGTTGTAAGACCTGAACCGGACCGGCCGGTTTGACCCGGAACCCGGTCAACCGGCCATCTGTCCGGTCCGGCTTTGTATCAACCCGCAAACAAGGTCAAAACCGGATCTAACCGTTGACCCGCTTGAACCCGGGACGGAACCGAACCAGCTGAAACTCGGAAAATTTGAAAAAGACGGAAAGAAGTAGCGGCCCAGATTCGATCCCGCGTCCATAGCTTCAATTATAGAGCTGCTGACCAGTGTGCTACACTTTGTAGTTGAGAATTACGGTTGTTTCGCTTCTCTTATACTATATCATCTTGGCATATACTCATTAAGTCTTAAATCACTTAGTTTATTAATCATTTATTTTATAATAAAAATACTTAAAAATACACATCATACTACTCGTATTATATACTCATGCTTATATTAAAAAATACTACTCCGTATCAGTTACTTTATTAAAGAATTCATAATAATAATAATATACTAATGCATATACACCCATGCTTATATTACACACACACACTTCCCATTATGTATACTCTGTATTATATTTCATATTTCTATTATATGTGAAAATGTATTTCTATCATATATTTAAGATTTTGTAATTGATGCTATATCTATATATTTTATCCATCTACATTTAAATCTATTTTAATTTTTGTGAAAACCAACTCTAAAATAATGATTTCTTAATTGGATTATATTGTATCATCATTATTAATTTATGAAGGAATAACATTTTCTACCTATGAATTTAATAATATATATATATATATACATATATATGTATAAATATTAAATATTATATATATGTGTGTGTGTGTTGACCGGGTTTTCCGGTCGTTGACCGGGCTAACCCGCCGGGTACGGGTTGACCCTTGACCCGGCCATCGCTCCGGGTCGCTCTCCGGTCCGGTTTTTACAACATAGACCCACACTCGTAAAAATATACTACAGTATTTTAATGCTCTATTTGTTCCAAATTCTTCTGTTGTTTCACTATTCATTGGTTAAAATAATCTCTTGCTTGATTTTTGAGTAATTCTTTTATCAAATCCGACTTTGGTTTTTTTTGAATAATTTTTTCTTTCAATAGGCTTTAAGTGTACTTTCTAAATATACAGATTTTTTATTATTAACACAATTAACTTGCAACCCTTATTTGCAAATGAATTTGGGATGTGGGTAGTATATTATTTATAATTTTATATATTGATTGATGTTAATATACACTCAAGTTTGGATTCAGCTAATGTGCTACGACTCTCCAACCTTTCCCATAGAGTCTCATGTTTAATCTCAACCCAGCTCCTCTGAGTTTATCATCATCCACTAAAATCATGAGTTAGTATAAGTGTATAACATAGAAACAGATCTAGACAGATGTAAGTACCTTTTTTTTGTTCTCTCCACATTTTCCGCAAGACGCATCAGATTCTCTTTCATATCAGCTTTGTTGAAATCAACCCACCTCTCCATTTGCTCTAATCCTATAGGAACCCAACCTCCAATCCTACAAACATTATCCTCTTCATCACAACCAGACACGATATTTGATGAAATAACAGAAAGGCTAAACCCGACAAGCCGATCCCTTAATTCTCTTTCAACATCTATGTGCACCTTCTTCCACATGTCCCACAGTTCCACTCCACCAAGGTCTTTATCATCATCCATCTTTAACACTACCTGTCTGGTTATCACATTGAATAGTTGTAACGTTTGGGATGCCAATCTCGGGAGATACCTAGAGGAGGCTTGAGATAATACTGTAGAAATGTCACATTGGGGCCCTCCAAGTACCGACGCCAACCATTTTAATAGTATATTTTCTACGCATTTTGGATTAGACTGATTGAAGGCCAGAAGTGCTGCTACAATGTCCCACATTATCAAAGGCTTATCTAGCCGATTATGATTGAATTGCTGAAGTGACCATAGTATATTAGTTTCCAAACATGTCATTTCTCTCTCGGAGGAATCTGGAAGTATATCAGAGATGGGATCTAGATGCTGCCCTCCAATCCACAAGAACTCTATTGCAGCTTTACAAGACCTGTGTGTATTTTTATCAATTGTTGATGTGGAACTTGTTAGTATTACCAATAATTAAACCTCTCATAAGAACACTAAGGGTATGTTTGGCAAATGGCTTATCAACCGGCTTTTAGCTTGTTTGACCCATTTTAGCTGTTTGATTGGTCAAAGAAGCTAATAATGATGTTTGGTAAATGGCTTTTAAAATTAGCTTGTTGAGTTTGAAAAGCTGAAAAAATGGATTGTTGAAGAAGCTAAGGGGAGCAGCTTCTTCATTCGGCTGGTTCAATTTACACTCTATCAGCCATTTCGAAACAACCAATTTTACCAAACAGTTATCTATAATCAGCTAACATAACCAGCCGGTCAAAACAGCTAACACAACCAGCTGTTAGGAAACAGCTGACACAACCAGCTAACAACAACAGCTAACATCCATTTGCCAAACATAACCTAAATAGATCGCTGCAAATTCGTAAGGGGACGTTTGGGCTGCAGAGGGGAACGTTAAGTAAAGGTTTGTGGTATGTTTGGCATACCTTCAAAAATGCAAATGAAAAATAAAGAATGATCAACTTCAATAGTTTTTTAAATGTATTTAGTTTTTATATAGTTGTATAGTACAAATAAGTAAATAAAATAAGTTTGAACAAATATCTACAAATAAATAAGGTCGACAGTATCTTTTTTTCTCAAATTTCTTTCTTTCAAACGTACTTCCTTACTTCGTTTCCTTGCTAGATGCCAGTTTTGAAAGAAAACTTAATACGATTATGACCTTGAGGACTAAAAGGAAATCTTAAAAGAAGCTACATATCTTTCTCGTAATAAAGGAAAAAGAAATTTAAAAACTGACCTTGCCTCGTACATTGGGTTTAATAGTTCAGTGTCATAGCCATGTACCTGCACAAATTGGCTTATGTAACTTAGCTCAACCATTTTCTAATGACAACACATGAGTAATGACATCCAAGAAGTTACAAAAAAGAAATTAAAAATCATGTGATTTATAATTCTTTTCAGCGCCTGATTACCAAATGATACCCTTGGAAATTGGAGACGGTTATTATAAGTACAGAAGTATACAATAACAACGGAGGTGATATAATAGGATAAAATATTAAACAATGACCAAAAGGGTAGAAAACTACCACAGCAAGCACAAGACTTCCCGGTGATACTGCAAGACCGCAACATGAATCAAAAGCAGTAGGCATATCAGCAGAACTCATCATTCCAAGGGTGTTTGAGGGAATAGAAACTTGGTGTAGGTAATTTTCCATCAATATCCAGCTGCAAAGGGTGTTATCCTGCATATTATTCAGATTACAGAGTTATCTAACATTCTAACCATTAATGAATTACATACATGGGTTACATTTTCCAAAGAAATATTATACTCCCTCCTTCCCTAAATGTTTGTCCTACTTTGACATTTTGAGTCAAACTTGTTAAACTTTGACCGCTAATTACTCAAAATTAATACTCGTAATATTTTATCCCAAAAAAATTATTTAATGTGATTCTTTGTAATATGCATTATTCAAATGTCAATTTATTATAGACTTTATAGGTATATATTTATAGATGATTACGGTCAAACGTCTACCTAGAAGACCGCAAAAGTCAAAGTAGGACAAACATTTAGGGACGGAGGTAGTATAAAAGTAATAATAAATGGTAAGGCATCATAAATGTTGAGAAGATAAACATCTAAAGTAGATTACCTGACTGCAGCTGTAAAGGCAGTGTCCATTAAAAGCCCAGGCCAGACCCGTGACCTGTGAAATTCCACATGTGTTAAAGGTTCACTTGAATCATAGAATAGACTTGGGAAAGAAATGAGGAGGAAAATAGAGAAGAAATTTTGAAGAGCAGAATATTAGCCTAGGTTAATTAGAAAGTCAAAGATCTAAATCTTTTTTTATCATAGTTAAAGATCTAAATCTTAGTAAAATAAACAAATAAAAGTTAACCATTTTACATTTCTGAGGCTCGAAACAAATGCAGAAATGTAGCGGTTTGAATGTTTGATACGTTGGCATGGACAAGAGGAGGGTCGGCTTAAGTTAAATACGGATGTGTCTTATTTAGCCGGCAATGTTTGTTTGTGGGGGTTCCTTTGTTGCAGGTGGAGCCCACAAGTGGATAGGAAACTCCCCACAGGTGGCTGAAGCTCTTTCTAGTTTCTATGAGGGAGGCATTGAGCTGGTTAAAGCAACAAGGTTGGGATAACATTGATGCCGAATCTGATGCTCTTCAGGTCATTAAAAGTATTTCTCATGGAGGAATTGATTCAGCTATGGGTTTGGTCATTGATGATATTAGAGAAATTGCATCTAGTTTTACTAGCATTACTTTTTCTCATGTGAAGCGTTATGCGATTCGGGTACCTCACGATCTAGCTAAGGCTGCTGTTTCTATGTCTGATCACTGTGTGTGGATTTATGATTTTCCTTCTTGTATTAAAACTTCGTTGGACTTTGATTTTATTAATAATAGTTAACTAGTTTTCCTTCAAAACTAACACTCCTTGGCATTTCCCCCTTTCGCTAGCATTTTCCATGATCTAAACATACTCTAGGGATAAATGATGAGAACGTACAATATGATCATGTCCACGGTAAGATCCAACTTTCTTGAATGTGCTGCTACACATCTCACAAATCCACACATCAACTGTTCCTGATCCTTTCCCAATAGCTAAAGAAATTTTGCTTGGTGAATCTAAAGGCACTATGACTGAGAGCACAGAAACCGGTCCACAATCTACGTTTGTGACCTGTCATCATATATCCAACAAACTCAATATGACTGAATGAATACAAATATAGTGGACCAAGTGTATGGGTAGAGAAATTAAGGCCAACAAGGTCCAGGGAATACCAAAAACCCCTTTAGGAGAATAAAGGATAGCAGCCCGTACAGGCATACACCATCACTTAAAGGGCCTTTTTGGTCAAATTAATAGCATTCTTTGAAACTTCCCCTGAATCTTAGATTGCAAATAACTTAATTGATTAAAATTCTCATTATGAAATTGAACCTCTTTTAGAAGAGAGAATGAAACATGACTGATGTCTGAAGATTCCTGAAGTTCTTTATTGCATGCTCGCCAGATCTTCACACTACATAAATGAAAAGAAAAAGATAAGCCAGATATTCACACCACATCCTTAATACGGAGTATAAGATAAGCCACACAAAAGTACACAAAAGAGGCTTATAAGGGGACCTTCGTGGTTGGTAATATTGGTTGCTATTACTGATTATGAGTTTTATGAGTGTGCGGTAAGCACCTCTTCTAGATCTTTTTAGATATATTATACACAAATTAATATGGTGCCACAGTCTGGTCTAACAGTAATTTAACACTCGTGGGACATAAGCCAATTTAGTGGTTTAATGTGTTTAGTTTGGAATCGGATTGGGTCCATTTGTCCAACCCATTAGTTATCAGACCGACTTGAGCTGTGGAGGATGTAACGAGTACACACATTGGTTCTGTGCCAACTGCCAGGTACGTATCTAGTCTAGCATATATAAGTGTGAGACTGTGAAGTCAACCTTTTGGGGTGAGGTAGACCCAATCTTACAATATCTATACTCACCTCCCATTACAACTTCCTGTAAAAAGCATAACTTGATGATTTGAGGCATCAGAATCAATCAAAGTCCATGTTATTGATGTAATCCAAGTGTTGTGGGCTTGAAGGAACCCCAAAAACGATGCAGGGTTTGATTCAGGACTGCTCCTTGTGGAGTAGCATTGTGGTTGATGGAATCTCCAAAATGAAAGTCTACCAGACTTTCCTCCCACCGCAAGCACTGAAAAGCCACTTTTCCATCGTAGATGGGGTGACCATGCCACAGTAAGTGAAGATATCATTGCATTACGAGATGCATATTCTTCTGCAGAGAGATGCAGTGTGTGTTTTTTCACCACACCATCTTTGAAGTTTACTACCTGTAGATGGAATAAAAATCCAATAAGCAAAAATTTCCCTCTAAAAGCTGGTTATTTTTGCTTAAATCAAATTGTTCAAATCTTTCTTCAGAATATAAGACATATAGTGACATAGTGTACATTACAGTCAAGGCTTTCAGCTTCCTTTGCTTTTTTGTTTTCAAGAAATGAGATAACGTCATGTCTTCTTCAAATTCTTGGTTACCACAGGCATCAGTTGTCTGTTTATCAAACAAAGGAAAATGGAGAAATTCTCTAAGGCTCCATCTGGGACAAGGAAAATAGTAGGGGGGGGGGGGGATAAGTGAGAGGGGGACTTGGGGAAAAGTGAAGAATAGACTCGACCTATATAAATTTACTTTAGTTTTTTTCTCAAATACATTTTTTTATATAATTCTATCATTCTATGATACAAAAACTGAGAAATTTAAATGTATGGAAAAAGTAATTTTAGAACAGATTTTTATTTCATTTTCACTAACCAAGCAAGGTAAAGCCCAACAAAAGAAAGTAACTTTGCTTATCACCTTTTTCTTTTTCCTAGCAATTTCTATGATCCAAAGATTCCAAACGTACCCTTACTGAAGAAACAAACATGGACATAAAAAAGAAAGAATCACTAAGGTAATGAACGATACCCATAAGTAAAAAATACTCATGAAGAAGGGATATAACACAGCGGTAGAGTGTCACCTTGACGTGGTGGAAGTCATCGGTTCGATCCTGTAATCCACTTACATATGAAAGATTAGAAGATATGCTCGCATCCTCAAAATTGGCATTTTCAAGATAAGTGTAAAGCATCTCGGATATATCCACTACCTACTAAAGTTAAAAGAAGAATGGTTTAAATGTATAATAACTACCAACAAACTAATGAAGATAAAATATTATAACAAAAGGACATATTGTGGAATGTTTGTTTCCTCGCTGAATACCTCTATCCACTCAACTCTAAACTCACAGAAAGGCATGCGGTAAACCTTCACACGCCCCTCGGTGGTGCATATGGCAAGAAAGCAGCTGCTTAGATAAATCATCATGACAATTTAGAGAAACAAGCCAAATACAGACTATGGTATATGGTAGACCTGTAGTTCTTGGAAGCCAAACCTGGCATTTGAGGCAAATCCAATAGGAGACCATGAAATTGACCTAACACAAGGGTGAATGTCTCGTGATATGCAAATAGGCAATAAACAATCAGATATCAAGTCTGCAAAAATCCCAAGAAGGACAAACATGAGGTCAACTTGATTTACATTGACGGCAACACTACGTAACGTGCAATATCAGAAACAATTCACATTAATTCCTAGAAAGCTAAATAAATCTTCTTTAAAGAACTGGCGGAAAAAGTAATGCCACTCTGTTCCATCTCAATAGAAAATACACAAATGTACCTTCCTTGTCAACCAGCCCAATTTGAAAGGGCTTGCTGGTAGGAACTGTAATTAGTCCACGAGCTACAAATGGCTTAGCAGGGTTCTGGAAGAAAAAAAATCAGACAAATTTCCTCGGTCATACAACGAGTTTCATGATATTTTGTGAAAATAAACTATACTGGTAATAGGAGTACGAAAATAGAACCAAGACTCAAAAAAAAAAAATTACCAGAATAGTAACAAGATGACCTGAAGCCACGGCTACCAAATTGTCCTCTGACCACGCAATAGCATTGGGGCAGGAAGGTGCGCCCACCAATGCAGCAACTTGGAAGCCCAAGGACATTGTCTATAGCCGTTATTCAAAACAAGTATAGCAGACCAAACCTCGATATTTCCAGCTCCAAACTACTCAAAAATTCAATCTTTCAGATGACAGAAGGAAGATTAGATTTTAGCTTTGTAGTTTTGTGAGTGTGTGGGTGTTATATTACAAATATATTACCCACACACACATATACATGTATAGAAAAAACTAGGAAAAGAAAAAAAAAACTCACACATTTACTAAACATATACTGTACTCCTTAATAAGTTTGAATTATTATAAGTTGAATGAGAGCTAATGATTAGAAATTCTTAAGGGCTGTTTTCTCAGGCAAGTCATTTACCATACTCAATTCCTTTATTTTATACTCTCTCAATCCCAGACATATTTTCATATTTGACTTTTCTGGTCCGAGACGTCAAACTTCCAAATACATATTTTTATAAAAAAAATTATTTATAATATTAAAGGGAGTAAATGCTCTTTATTAAAACTACTATCATACAAGTATAAACTTTATAAATTTCACTAAATATATTGATGAAGAAGGCTCACTTTGACAAAAAAAAAAAAAAACAACACGAAGAACTGTTTTGGAATAAATAAGGAATATCAATTGGAAAAATACCAGAACTAATCAATAAAGAGGGGAAGAATTGGAGGAAAACCGGAACTATGGAAGGTGACTATTGAGAAGGGCGGAATGGCCGAACCGCCGAAGGTCGACGGAATTGAGGCTAGCAGGCGACGAGCGACGAGACGCGCTGCGGTGCTGGTGCCTGGCGGAGATGCGGTGTTGCCGTGCTGCGTGCTGGCGCTTGCCGGAGGAGAAGCCGGAAGGGGGAGTCGGGAACTTTAGCTGGGCTTTTGATGGAGATGAGTTGTGATGAGTTGTCTGCTCGGCTTTCGTTTGAAGTACTGCTTTTTGTTAATTTTAGACTCTTGAAACCCTATTAAACTTTCTCTATACAAATTTTGGATTTTCTCTTCAAAATATTACTGTAATGTAATGTTATGGTATTAGAATTTTAGGATTGAACACAAGTTATTATAATTCCATTATTACTTTAGTTACTAGTCACATATTTGTAATCAATTTTTATTTTAATTATAAATATGTAAATATTTCTAAAAGTTTATATTAAAAGGGTGTTTGGTAAGAGAGTGAAGTATAATGACGTAAAAGATTTACACTGTTTAGTTTCATTGTTTAATGTAATTTTCAAGGTACATTTTAAAAACATTTCGCATTGTACCATATAAAGTATTTTATGCGGGAGTGTGATAAAATACTTTGCACGTTTTTTTATAAAGCTGCAAAACATTCGCGTGCAAACTAAAAATACATTGTATATCTAGGTAAGCAATTTACGGCAATTGACAATAAATATATAAGTAGTTGTCAACCAAAAGGCGTAACAATTACGCAAAAGGTGTAACAATTAACAACAAATTTCAATATTTTTTTATAAATTTCAAAATATTAAACTAGTACAAATATTATAATAGCAAGCATAAAGCCGTATTGAATATGAAGATACTAGTGCATAACATTTAAATACTTAACCATAACACATCACTTATTCACTATTGGCATGGATCGCATGGGTGAGTGTTGAGTAGTGAGTACTTCATATAGAAATGTCTTCAATTCGTAGCGTACCATAATCGTTGCTTACCTGTTTTCCCAAATACAAAATCTCTTGATAATGATGGCATTGTGTATAAAACATGTCATTAACATGTTCGTATAGATAGTGTACTAAAGTAACATCTATTATAATCTAAAAGCAAAATAACTTTAGGCTGAAATTTCCCTCTCAAAAACGTCACTTTCAAATGTTATGTCTATTGCTTGATAATCCGTAGCTGGCATAGGGCTCGGAGTGTAAAAAATCAAAAGGTTGGGGCATATGTGTGAGATTATTGCAAAAAATGAGTGGTGGGGGGAGTTCCGGACAGAGTATAGATTTCATTAGGATTTCCCACTAAATGTGCTTCATTCTCATTGGACCGTTTTGTGAATGAACAGTTGATTCGTACGGAAGATAGGTTGTACACAGTTGAGAGCTGTGGTAAATTATTGGTTTGGCTTTGGTGTAACTATTTATAATTCAAATTTTGAAATTTAGTTTTCCCCCAAATCCAAAAACAATTCTAATTGGTTAAACAAGGAATGTCCACTGTTTCCTTTTGTTTAGGCAGGCCCATTTGGCCGTTTCCTATTGGTTGAATTGGAGGTGCACACTGTTTCATTTCATTGCCAAGGCCATGCTCGGCACATCTATAAATGGACCAACAAACATGTTCCAATCCCCATAGGTCATCACAACCGAAGCAAACAAAAACACTAGCAAAACTCCTCAAAGTATGGTAAAGCCCGGTTATAGAAGCAAGCCTCCGAGGCTCCGCCACTAGACTTCTCACATCCATTCGCATGTCAATCTGTAATAGCAAAAGAAGCAATAGATTTCTGTAATGGAACAATACAAAGAATGCATGGAAGATGAAAATTAGAGCTGTTTAAGGTGAGGAAGTGGTCTCTTAAACTCCGAATCAATTAGGTTGAATCTCTAGACATTTTTTCCCGACAATAAAGAGTTTTTTCACTTATTTATTAATCATTACTTTTTTCCCATGTTTTAAACACTGTTTTTGTTGAAACAAGAAACTACAATTCCTGCGGATGAGTATCACCAAAAAAAACATGACCGTTTGTGGTTGGTCATGTATGTGATGATAAAGGTGTTATTCTTTTGTGTCGTTTGCTGCTTTACAGGAACGGATGCCATTGATGATAAAGCTACAATCATTAATCTATTACGGAGTATTACAGAGGTGACTGTTTGTAGGTTTATAGTTTAATTCAGTATTTATAAAAATTATAATTTGAACTGTTAATCAATTAATGATAAATGCAGATATCATTGGACAAGTTGTCCAAGATAAAGACCCCAAGACAATCCTCAAGAATGAGTTCTAAGTAGTTGATTGAGCTCATCGTGGGGAGACACAGAATTAGTAAATTTTATCATCAAAATGTACACTTGCTAGCATGTTTAGATGTATTTCTAATTCATAAATCTGTGTTCTACAAGTGGAATGTCATTGCTTGCACGCTTTATGATTGTAATATGGACAAAAAAGGTGGGTTCAAGAGACATACCTCGGATCTCTGGTGCCATTGCAGTCCTATTTATATCCTAATCTAAATAGAATTATTTATTACTACATTTGTCCCATTTATATTGGGGCGGAAGAGGGTGACACGGTTATTAAGAAAAATGAGTTTGTGTGGTTGATATTAATTGATACAATAAGAATAAAGTAAGAATGATTTAGAACCACACAAATTTTGCCAAATATGGTATGAGACAATTTAAGTGGGACTTCCCGAAAAGGTAAAACGGGACAATATAAATGGGACGGAGGGAGTATTACATTTCACACTTGCATATAAATTGAGATACATCAAATAAATTTTACATGACAAGGAAGAACAGAACAAATAAACCATTGTCACCCATAGAAAATAAACCCCAGACCTGCATTCCAAATTTAAGTTTGCTAATACCATACTTGAATACTTAGCAATTAAAACTTTTTTAATACAATGTTTAAATGATGTATTTGGCATATATTATTTGAAGATTTTTGATAAAATATGTATGTAAAAATGTGAGTCTGTTATCTATTAATGCATCATCAGTTGTAAAAAAGAACTTCCACAGTTTTGTTATTGTGGTTGATAAACAGATTGCATATTTTGCAAGAAGTGTTTAATATTTGAAAAGATGAATGCTTTAGTGGACTGAGTGGTGGGTGTTTATTGTATATTAACATACCAAATATGTCTTTTGTTTCTTATCTTTAGTGTGTGTATGAAAAAAACAGTTCAGGGATTATGTTAGAGAGGTATTTTTTTAATATTCAAGAGGAATAAGAATATACCATTAGCATTGTGGTTGACATGCGGGTCCTGCAATGTACTTTGGCCCTTTGCTAGCCCAATCGGATGGGCCGTTTGCTGTATCCAGTCCCACGGTTCCTCCCAGGTTATTGTCAAAAGAATATATGATACATGAAATCCAATGAAAAAACAAAAAAAAATCGTCCAAATGAGTGCAACTGAATCAAGAGAAACTAATGTAAATGACATCACATAAATACAGCTTCAAAGGGTTTACATGCGAGAACTAAAATATTAACATTTGCATAAGGGGGTTAATTTTTCTATCAGGGAGGATCAAGAGCTAGAATGAAAAGAAAAGAAAAGAAAAGCCACAAATAAGAAGGGTTGTCCATTACTGCGCCATTCCATTCTGGATCCCTTCAGCTGGCAATTGCCTTCCCTCACTACAACGATAAACCGGCTTAAACGCCACAGACTGCACAACAGAATCTCCTTTTGCTTCCGACCACGCGAAGCGAACCAAGTCGCACACCACTTCGCTTAGACGAGACTCCTGCAGAACCACATCACCCAATATTCAATCGCAGATCTCCCCTCCAGTGCCAAAATAGCCTGCTTAGGGATCCGAAGGCTTTGGAGATCCTTTAGCTGCGCCACTCTATCTCAAGGACGAAGAATCGAGAATCTAGGGTGACCCTGTGCACCCAAACTTTAAATTATTTCTCGCTGATATATTCCTTTGGACACATATGGCTGCTCTGATGGGCCGAACTTGGGCCAGGAAGCTGGGCGCCCATCCTTTATTTTTTTTTAGCTTTTTATTGTCTTAGACAAACAATTTTCGGTGTAATCCTGTAATTTAAACTAAGATAAGTAGAGCAGGTGAAAATTGATATGGTGTAGTGACTAGGGATGTTTTTTTGGGCTGAAATTTGTTGCTCTGATCTGGTCTGGTTTGATCTGGAAAACGTTTGGTCTCTGTGTATTTTATAAGTACGGAAATCTGATCTGATCTGGTCTAGAACTGAAAACAGTCCAAAAGAAAATATCCAACCGTAGAAGATAATGTATGAGTGGTGAGACTCTCTCCACAGAAAGTGAAATGGTTTTAATCGTAGGATCCCAAAATTTCAAGGAAGGAGTGATTTCATATCGTAGAACACAAGAATATCTAGAGACTATTTGATGATCCTATTTTTTTAGGAGTCTTATAAGTCATTTTTCATTAAATACGTAATTTAAGATTTTATGCGATGAATTGTGCAATAATCAAAATGAGTAGGTTTGAAGTTACTTTCTGTTTGAATTGGCTAAAATTACTATAGATGGTCTTTAAGCTATTTTCATATAATTATTTCTTTATTTTATTAAATATAATTTTCTTCCATAATTCAGCATATTCGACTCATGCAACCATTTAAGTTATAGTATCGTTAATTTCAAAGAATCAACTGAATCAAAAACCAATTTCGGTGTTACCAAACATGTTACTATAATAGATCCCACTGCACATATAAAATACATATTTCAAATATGGCGTTTGTCGATTATGTAAATTTGCATTGATTTTTAGAGAATTCTATTGAAAGAGTTTTTACATACAACATTTCTGTCTCAGGGTATCAAATTTGAAAATTTTGAAAATTTTGAAAATTTTGAATTCAATATTTTAGAAGTATTTTAACTATTTGATTGAATCTGAAGCACTTTTAATTTTTGCCTAGATTTTAAATTGTCAATAAATTGACATATTTCATTACGATTAACTGAGGGGGTAGGGGGTTTTGTTAAAAAAAAAATAACCGGGGAAGGGTAGGGACTTTTGCAAAGAAAGGCAACGACGAAGAGGTAAGGACTTTTTTGCAAAAAAATTATGAGAACAATTGGATCATAATTAAGTCCAAGTGCGTCATCATATTAAATTCATCGAAACCGTTCTTTTTTTAAATTGATAAAATATATTTAAAAATAGATTGAATGTTTTTTGAAAGTAAATATGTTTAAATGGTTAGTCATTGCTTTGTTTCTATTGGTGGAATTGGGTGGTGAACACAGTAACGGAGATTGGATGTATTCTCTTTCCCAGCAAGTAGCATGCTAACGTCGGGCTATAAAAGCAACACTCCTGCGTTTCACTGCTCACATCCATTTGCCCATCAAACTGTAGTAGCAAAAGCAACAATATTTTTCATGCAATATAGTTGGAATGTGGTCAATGATAAGTGAGATTGATAAAAAAAACCACTTGGGTCATAAAGGCAAGAGCCACAAAACAAATTTCTTGAAAGACAGACGCTCAAAGATCCATGCTCACCTATCCGACTATCCGAGCATTGGTAGATTTTCTGTGCAGAATATGGCTGATATGTGTATTAGCGTGTAATTTTACTAGGAAAGTTTATTAGGTAATTTTTCTAAAGTTTGTTTAGAGTATTGGTGGCATTTGGTGGTTTACTGTGGGTTAAGAGCATTCTTATTTTTTCAATTCTATTCAGAGTATGGCTGATATGTGTAAGAGCGTGTAACAGTATGTGATGGATAGGAGAAAGACAAGTCGTGTCGGCCTACGTATTCACCTAGACACTCACAAAGATATTTCTTTTTATTTCCAAATGGCAAGCATGAAAGGGAGGGGATGATGTCCTCCCTTTAGGCTTTGTATGCATAACACATAAAAATGTATTTAAATAAGAAATGGCATTTAATACAGAGTATCTTATACGAGTAAATATCTATCCTCAGCGTATTAGTTCGAGGTTGTTGTCTATAAGGAAGTGTTTCATAACATTTAGCAACGAGTCGAATGTGTTTTCAAATTATATTTCTACTGCGTGTAATCAGTGATTAATTGAAATTAATATATCACATCACATATCAAAATTCATTATCATAGTGACTGTAATTCTAAATTGTTCATAGTTGTGTGTTACATTGAAACTTTTTATAGATCTTAATTGCTATTGTTATCTATTTTTTAGTAAAATATTCTCACAAATTAATATTCAGTATTGTTTAATAATGACATAACACGCTTTCACATATTTGCACACCCCCTGATTTGCCATTTACATGGGCAATTTGTGTAAACAATGCAATTCGTATAAATGCATAGTCACCCTATTACTTGGGATGTTTTTACTTGGATTTAGTTTAGTCTCAAACGAAACCAGAATTAAACAAATCAGACTAGACTGTACTTTGATATTAAAAATGGTAGAAGCACCTATTTTCTCACAATGGTATGTAATATGTATTTATGTATATTTTTTTAGGAAAATTCACCGACCGTGCATCGCACGGGTGATTTATTAGTACTAACAAGAAGAAATCAGTACATGGCATTTAATATCTTATATATAAGAGTAATATTTATCACTCCCTAAATAATTGTAAACTCACCACCTAATTTAATTTTGTTAGATATCAAGATTTTTTTTACTCAGGTAAAATATATACTACGTATTACATAGCTTTACTCTACTATATTATCAAAAAACTTCACTCTAATATTCTTCGTGTTTATATAATCTTCAAGTCTTCTTTAAAATTCAGTCTTCAAATATATTAATTCCTATATGCCCTTTTATTGCCTGGTTGAAAAATATTTTACTGAACCACAATCTATATAATAGTTTGTATATGCTTACGCCGATTGTTTATTTAAAATTCAATTTAAAAAAACGCTTTAAGTGATAAATTGATAATGAAAGCAGCTTTAAAAAAAATCATCCAGTAATCACGGATCTATAGTGTTGTCTTGATTTACTTACCGTGGTCGTGTATATGTGCGGTTTCATAGTTGGTACTAATCTCTTCGTGTATTGTTCAGGAGATTGGAAGGTATTTTGTTGTTGTCTACGAATATTGACGGACCGACTCTTGCTACTCTCGGCCGCATTGTTTGCTGAAGACGGCTTAAATAATTCTGGAAGAGTGCGTGAGGGTTGAGGTGGAGAAGGTTATGGTCGAGTGCAGAGAAAGGGCAGCGATCGAAGCTTCTGGTCTAAGGGACGGTTGAGACTTTCACCTGTCGGTGTACACTAGGGTGGGCATTTAATCAGGGTTGCTGCTCTCGGCCCTATTTTTAGATTATACGGAGTATACGAAGTGTATGGTGGCAAATGGTTCGGGTTAACACTTTTCAAGCTCTTATGAATAATAAGATGGGCTATGAGGAAGTGGCCCAATCATATTTAATACGAGTACGGAGTATATGGTCAGGACTATTTGAGTGGATTTGTCCAAATTTCAGCATGCCCCCCAAATATCATACGAGTAAATATGTAAACAATTTATTGAGCCTTTGCAAGAGCTTCTACTTTTAAAAAAGTGCTTTTTTAATGAAATGGGGAGAAGTGATTAAATAAAAGTTGATAGTGTTTGAGAAAAAAGTGATTTTGAAAAGTAAAAGTGGGTAGTGTTTGGTAAAATAAGTGCTTTTTGTGTAATAGAAAAAGTAAAAGCACTATTGACGCGGAAGCCGAGAAAAATTAAAGTTGTAGTGTTTGGGAAAATAAGTGCCTTTTTAAAGTCAAAAGCTGAGAAGTGTTTTTTTAAAAGCAGTTGCAAACCAACCCTGAGTGGATTTGTCCAAATTCTAAGTGCTTTTGCTTAATCATGTGTAATGATTGAGCCTTTTGGTTTAAGTATAAGGAAGAAAATGAGGACTACTACACTTTTGAGTAAGGGAGAAAGTGGTAAATCTTCAACTCAAGGTACACGTTCTGTACTTCTTAATCTATATTTAAAACGATGTTTTTATTTTGTGCATATCTTGATGTTTATGACAAGATGATGTTTTTAGGTAAATGTTATTATCAAATATCATTTCACAAAGAGTAACATAATATGCCAGTAAATTCAGTAATAAACACATATCTGCTAGATCTATGGGTTGTGAATACAGGTCTTTGTATACAAGTCTGATTGGGTTATTTCACGAAAACATTTAATCGGTGAGGTGGTTGTGTGTGCTGTGTAGTGTAGGGAGTGCGTTCTTACCGTTTTTATAGTTTAGCGTGGCGTAGGATGCACATTAGGTGGAGGAGGCGGAGGAAGCCTTTCATCGGTTAATTTATGACCGTTGTCTGGATAAGTT